AGCTACTCACAGACTCACCATTACTACCTGGGGACGACCTGTTAGACTCTGAAACGATCTTTATACTTTTTTCTTCGTCCTCGCGCTTCAGACTCTTCTTCCTCTCCTGCATCTTCAGTCGAATTTCCTCCGCCTTTCGTTTCCTGTCGTCCAACACCTTGCCAATCGTCACAGGCCTTTCTTCCTCTTCCACTTCCTCATCCTCAATCACCAGCTCAACTGTTGGACGCGAGAGGGACTTCGGGGGGCTTTTGGGACTCTCCAGAAGAACTTCAGGGGGTGGACTCGGAGTTTTAGGGACTGTTTTTAAAGGAGTTGGTTTCTTTACAGGGGATGGAGACTCTAACTCTGCGCCATACGTCTTAGGACTAAAGGTCAACTCAGTTTCTGGGGGAGGACTTCTGTGCTTCTTCCCTGCCTTAGGACTAGCTTGTGGTGGCGGACTTGGTGTTTTCATCACAACTTCCCGTGTAGGACTGGGTGTTTTCTCGGCAATTTTGGGTGTAGGACTGGGCGTTTTCATGTCCACCTCGGATACGGGTGGAGGGCTGTCTGGTTTCATGACGAATGCGCTTCGTTCTGGGACAGTTTTTCTTTTGACGTCTGTCGGTGGGGACTTCGGTGGTTTTGACTCTATTTCAGGTCCATCTACTTCCTCTTTCTTCCCGACGCCGACCTCCACGCCCGACTGTCTCGTCAATTTCGGCACCTTCTCCGTTTTGGTCTCCTCCGTTTCGATGAGTTTTTCCACCGGGGGCGCGGTTTGAAATTTCCTCACGGGCGGAGGGGTTTTCCCAACGCCGACATCTTTCATCTTCTTCTTCTCCTCCGTCTCCTCCTTCTCCGTTGCAACAGCCTTCTCTTTCAGTTCCCTTTCCTTAGCTTTCCTTTTCTGTTCCTCCAGCCGCACGTCGGGCACGCTCTCCGCGGCGCCGTATTTCTCCTGCAGTTCCTTCCGTTTCGTGGCGGGAGACTTGTCAGAAACTGTACTCGGCTTCCACTTTTTCTTGGGAGTCGTTTCCGCAGGTTCGTCTTTCCGGTCTGGAAGTTTCGCCGGGGAATATTCTGGATAGAAAAACGTAATAAGCATCGTCTGAGAACATGTGCAACTATGTTTGACATAATATTACACGTCTAAAAATGCTTTGTTTATTTCTCTTACGTCCAAATGTAGGCCACTCGTACAACTTGACACTTGTGATCAACACGTACTGTTTGATTGCTTTGCAATGTTTGCCTGTCAAGTGATACCTTTGAAATACTAAGCGTTTTCGACCACCTTAGAAGCATATGGAAGACTGTATCTTATACTGAAATTACTTTTTATTCAATGGATACGGAGGACATGGTGTGTTACGCCGAAGGGCGGTTATACCGGCTATACAGATACAGACATAAAGGACTGCGATGGATGGGAGTAAAGTAGGATATCTAACAAAAAATCCTACCTGTTCCCGTCCACCTGCCGGGCTCCATGACCCGTGCCAGCTCCAGCTGGTCGGAGTCCCTCAGCGCGTCACAGAACGTGTTGTAGTTGTGCGAGCCTTTGGTCAGCAGCAGGTCCACGAAACGGGAGTTCCTGGTGAAGCGGAACGGCATCTTCCGCAGGTCGTCAGCCTGGGACTGCGTGAACTCACCTTCCTGTTAGGAGAAAAAAGTACGTTACGGTGGTGAAGGTTAGGCATCCAGGTAATAAGATACGACAAATACAGTTACTCAAGCAACTGGGTATGATTTGGGAAACGGTCAGACGTTTTGTCAGTTATTTAGTGTCACTGGCGAAAGGTAGTGGATTCTACCTGATCATGAAACGTCTGACGGTTTCCAAAATCATATCCAGTTGCTTGAGTGACTGTTTTTTGGCGTAGAAAGTACGTTTTGGTTGGGTGCAGACTGCACTTTTGTATAAGGATAGCACCACACGGTATGTATTTTGTGGAGTATTGGTCGTAATTGTTGGGTCTAAAACCTTATGTAAAATTTCAAGACTTGTGCCTGCGTACCTTGACCATGTGGTCCAGGACAGAGTCGAGTTGTATGGAGTCTACTATAGCGGGTCTGTTGGCGAAGATGAGCTGCCGCTGCTTCACCTTCATCCCCGTCCGAATCATCGTCAGTTTACGGGCATCTATGGAAGACCGTCGCCGCTAAAACGAGGGGAGAATGTCGTTAACACAAGTGTCTTTATAGAGCTACGCGCCTGTTTCTGAAGTCATAATATCGAGCTGTAGTTAAGGTATCATGTTAGCAAGAAAACGTACATTTAACAAACTTGTTATATATCTTTTCTCTTACTCCCATTAACATTTCTTCATTTTTTCCCCCAATGCAGCACATGTACGCGTAAAACACCCACACTACTCCCTTTTTCCTTACAACACATGTACACCATGTTACCTGACCCACCCGTAGGTCCTCATTGTCCCTCTCCACGTTTTTCCAGTCCCTCTCCTGGCGGGGCGGAGTGGCGCTGTACTCGCTGAGTTTCCTCTTGGCCGCCGCCTCGCCGTCCTCACTGCTCTGACTGGCCGGTTTCTCTTTGCTGGTACTCGATGGTCTCGATGATGGTCTAGGGAAACACCATGATCTATGAGTGAACTAGGCTGCCTTTGGTTCTGAATTAAGCAAAAATAAACTCTGTCTAGTCTGTTTCTTCTCAAGAAATACTTGAAAAGACAATTCAATGATATGCATTGAACCGTGCTGGCTAGGCTGGTAGTTGCGATACCATTGCCATATTTGCTTTGGCGCTCATGGTAGAAAAACGGCATACACGTTTCACGCTTAGATTCAAACATTTGTTGAAGTCGTGTATTTTTAATATGTCGTTTTCCTATTGAACAACATTCAAGAGTATTTCTATTACTGGTTACTCAAGTTACCTGGACCCTGGGCTGCGGTCTGGTGTTGCCGTACTCTTCCAGCCAGGCCCCGGGCTGACGGGCTGTTTCTTCCCGTCATCGAACACGTTCTCCCTGGAGCCGTACACGGACTCGAACGCCGACTTAGCCGCTCCCATGGAATCACGGGACATTTTTGCTGGAGTCTTATCTACACCTGAGAAAAGATCAGTCATATTGTTATCCCTATTGTTATAGTTACTGTGACAGCTCACAAGCATCTTTATAAGTCAAGCAACTAGTATCTGTTAAGTTTATGAAATATGCAAGGAAGCGAAATACCATTGATTTTAGACAATGACAATGATGTTTATTTGCACATTCATGCCCATGAGGGCTAAGCGCAGTACATGTAGTTTGCGTGAGTCGTATAGACACTAAAATTCTACAGAGGTGCTACACTATGTCTATTGCATACAGATGGATGAACACTATAAGGCTAACATTGATATAGCTTACGTGTTTCTCCCCTCCTTTTAAAACAGTTTTTGTTGTGCAGCACTGTTAGGAGATGTCATTATGTGCACAAACAGATATCTTTTGCTAACTTTTTGAATTAGGATTGTGGTGCTTACACTCGAGAGAAAAGGCTATTGAGGGATAGAATAGTCCCAAAAGCGGAGTAGTGCAGACATACCTGTATCCGACTCCCGTCGGTACTTGTTAGGTTTGATGTCCCCTTCTAACACCTCTACCAACTGGCCTTGTCCATTCCCCCGGAGCGCGTAGATGAACATCTTGTAGGCTGAGTCAGGTCTGGAAAAAAAAACGTAGCACACGGGTTTTAAACTGAAGCAAAAGTTATCCTCCACCAGGCCTTTTTACGGTAATACGGATCGTAGAATTCGGCAAAAAGGAGAGTAAAACTGGCCAGGGGCGTACCGCCGCGGAAGGTTGTTTCTTTCCCTCCGCGACCAAGGCGGCCAAACTCCCCTGGAAAATATTCTCCTGTATGTAGCCAGCGTAGTTAGTCTGGTAGAGACTATGCACAAATAAAAACCAGCAGGTTGCGGTAATGTTGGGTATGCTTACTCTGTAAATATTTCTCACGTTCTGCTCAAAACAGTCATCATATATCCTGTATTTATGTATAGCGCGTCCCCCGTATACGTCCGTTTTTGGGACCCCCATTTCAGCACCAAGGACATCGCCTGGCGGCGGCCGGGCAGCCAGGGGCGCTCGGAGTCAGCCGCTCGCTCTGATATCCCCTACGGGAAGAAGGAGGAGGGAAGGGCGCATGCTGACCTGTCCGGTAAGATGTCCACCAGTCTCTCGTTGACCTTCTTCTGGTCCTCAGGAGACAGGATGCCGTCCACCATGTCGCGTGACAGGATGTTGTTCTGGATGAGCAGGCCGAACAGCGGCAGCGGCTGCATCTCCGACACCAGGGTCGCCTTGTGCTTCGTCAGCTGCTCACGGGACTCAGGACGCATGGAGGACCGGCTGCCCATACGTGAGATCTGCGCCAAGACAGGGACAAGAAGAGTGGTTTATTGTGGAAAAAATCTCATTTAGCTGCCCACCCATGGCTGACAGCTATTCTTCCAGGAGAGGGTGGAGTACATAAGAACATATAACATATCATCATACAATTACACAGAGTTACATTACATCTAGTTAATATGTAAAAGAAAATAAATAGGAGGCTTGATCGAAAAGTCAGCTTCATCTGTCTCTTGTTTCTTACACTCAAATGTAACAGGTCGCAAATTACGTGGAATGGTTTTGTTCAAGCTTCGTATGAATGGACATACGACAGATAGTGAATTTTCATTGTTTACATCACAGGACAAGACGAATGGAATACAATAAGTCTATTGATATTGTATCTTATGAGGACACTCATGCTGGCAACAAATCCCAATGAAACCACTGCTTTGTGTGACAACCGTACTAGTTATGGCAGCATACACCATGACACCTACCTGACGGGTAAGCTGTCCAATCTTCTTCTTCGGTGATGTTTTCTTCTCCTTCCCATCTTCTTCCTCCTTCTTCTCATCAGGATCTTCTTTACCTATGAGAGCATAATATCTTTAGTTTTAGGATTCTTGAGTCATTTCTCGATCTCCATTTGTTGGAAAAGTATCAAGTGTAAATCAAATAGAATCGGCACTACTGTCGTTTCAATGCTGTCCGTAGTGTCAGGTACACATGTATGTTGAAACATGACGAATAATATTTATTGCTATGTACGTTCTTACCCACATGGGCTAGATGCAGTTATCCTGCAACAGAGTCTGTTAGGATCCGGAGTTAAAAGTTAGGCAGGAGAGGAAACACACGTACCTTCAGGGTCGAGGAGGTACGCTAGATGACCCTGTAGACTGGCTTCCAGGCCCTCTCCCAGCACAGTGAAAGCAGCGTCGCCTCTTGTCGGTATTATGTCTAACAGCCTGCACATTGGAGAGAGGAGGAGGCTGGCATTTTAGACTTTCTTTCCGTTGTTAATTACAATCGTACACCCGTCTAGAACTATAGGATGTTGACATAGGTTTGTGGGTTTGATTTTGGTGAAAACAAAGGACACTCAGATTAAAGAGACTCTTTCTACACAAGTTACAACCAAGTATTTTATTCAGCCGACGTTTCGGTGACCGTCTGTCACTTTCCTCAATTCTGACTGTGCTGCAATGCAATGTGAACCAGTAAAAGACATGGTTGTGTAGAAAAAGTCTCTTTACTCAGCTTACCAACCTGGTGAAACTATTCACGGAGGCAAAAGACACTCACTTTTCATTCAGTTCCTTTCGCTCGTCGTCTGGCAGGATCTTGTCTAAGTGCGCGGGTGTGAGCACGTTGTTCTCGATGAGAGAGCCGAACATGGGGAGGGGCTTCATCTCACCAACCAGCATCGGCCGATGGTGCGCCAGCTTGGCCTTCACACGAGGCCGCATGGTGGCGCTCCTGGGGAGAACTGGGCAGGTACAGTCTGGAAGAGAAGTGTCAATGGATTTGATTTGATTTATTAGACTGTATAAAACATAAATATATACAGCCAGGACTGCCCAACTAGCCGGAGGCTATTATAAAGGGCTAGCCCTCACAACAATTCGGAACAGGTAACAGTTAACAGTGTCGGTTACACTTCAGATAAACATACTATTACATAACAGATGTTGCGGCCTAACGTTAACAAGCTATGCAATCTGGCCTAGTCGTCATGCGTTTACTATAATTACATTGTGTACTATATCTACATTGTCAGGTTAACATACTATTACATAACAGATGGATACCCCATCTTCATCAGGTTTACAGGTGGTATAGAGGACAAAATGTGATGTTCAAGCAATGCAAAGAACGTGGTATATGACTGTGTTTTCGTCTGGGCATTGAAAAACGATGTCAACATTTCCTTTGAAGAAAACGAGTTGAATCCCATTTGCGAGGAAGTAATCATAGCATCATTCACATTGCCATGATACAAAACGTTATGATTATGGTTAGCATTAATTCGCAATGGTGTGTGATTCAAATCTTCAAAACGTTAACGAATCTGAAAAGGAAAACCATGTCATACAAACTTTCAAATTTTAACGGAAATCCCCCTTACGACATGTACGATACGAGACCGGCCGTACGTGTCACATCATGAGGAAGTTGTTTATACACATGTATCTGGTATCATTTGATGAGTCGGGGTAGGACGTGTTGCCATCAACGATTGGTGGGAGGGGACGTCAAAACACTGGTTTATATAATTAGACCAAGTGACTTGATTGTATGCTGTCTAGTATATAATAACTATCCTCCTTTTATGGAGCGTAATAGCAAAATCAGACTAGCCAATCTCATTCGACTAATTCGTAAACTCCATGAATTAAAAAAAAACATTCCCGAGATATCTCGACTACAATCTTTCCTTCAGCATCGCACCTACGCATGCAGCCCAGCCTGACAGGGTTTAGGATTGACAGACAATTGCAGAGTACCCAATTGTTATACATACCGTCACACTAGCCCAATCCCCTGGTACTCATATAGAACTCGATTGTGGAAAGGTTGATAGAATGACAAAAAGAGCAACAGTAGAGATACAACTACGTTTGAACTCAACCAATGAGGGCACAGTCCAATCTCTTTACAAAGTGAGTCCTCTTAATGATAATTCTCAATACAATGTACTACAGATACCTTGATCTCTCGGCTTTTAGGCTCAGCGTCTACGCTAGAGTTCCGACAACAGAACAAGATGGCGGCAGGATATAAGTTGACAGAGATGCAGACCGAACCTACCACGGTTCATAGGGCAGATTTTCCGTACATAATTATCCTGTGAGATCTTCTACCGAGAATGTGCCGGGGGCGAAATGTGTTTGGAGACATGCTCTTACATAAATCCCTGTCTGTTTACCTGTTTAGAAGACTTGTCATTTGATGTGCTTATTTTTATATGGCGTCCGGGGAAAGTGGAATACGTTTGTGTCAACAGATAGTTTGATTATCTGTATCAAAATCATATATCAGATATCTTGATGTGTTTTCTCTGGATGTCAACTTTTGTGACCCAGATTTGATTGACGGGAGACATGCCTTAGTTAGCAATGTTGCTGTACAGTTGTATGGTAAGGCACACACCCCCAGAGGTCGCTGATTTTTAACGCGATTTCCACGAAATAAGGAACCTTTCCAGAAACAAACACAGAAACAGCTGGTGTGCTATGTGGGTGTGTATTGTGGCCGGATAAAAGTTGTTAGTGTTGTGTCAACTTACATCCTTTATTCTTAGAAATTTCTAGATCGCGTTTCGCCACTCATGCATCTTATTAGTTTCTTGAAACTTAGGAACAAAGGTAGGTTAAGATATCCTAACAGTGACGCGAGAAATGGTTATCATAAAAAAATAGAATCAAGGACCTCCTTGATAGATAGAATACACTAGCGTCGACCATTTTTTTCGTTGTGTATAAACAAATATAATTGTTAAAAGTTCTGTCGACGTCAAACAAATGCTTGTATATGTTCGTTGGAATGCTATTTACAAAATATTGCCCCCACCCCACCACTTGTAGGACACCCACGGACAAGGCTTCCCCACCCTCACACGTAGAAAGGTTTCTGCAATAAGTCTAACTACTCAGGCCGAAGACACATCTCATTAACTCTCCTTTATGTCTGTAAAGTTTGCTGAAAACGCGTTTGTTGTTGGCTTGGATTTTTACCAATAGACGCGCCCCTCCTGTGGCATGTATGTTCAAGGGTCAACAGTTCCAACACACCTGACTCTTCTGTAGTTCAGTACTAGTCAATAGAGGTCATCCAGAGGGGGACAGGGCAAAACAGAACACATGGTAACAAAATCACTTACCTGTCGAGATGTGAACAGTCTGGGCTACTACTTCGTCTTCTTATGGACTCCTGGGGAACTCAAGAAATGATCAGCAAGCCAGTAAGGATGTAGGAAACAAGTTGGGGAGTCTCTTCATAAAGTTTTTGAGCTACAACAATGAGTAAAAAGTCTGTGTTTGTAGGCTGAGGTCGCGACAGGCAAGCCAGCCACCTGCGTATGATGCCGTTGAACCAGTTTCTCAGCTTCTGGGCTTTTTGTGTTGCTCTATTGAGCTGTTTATCCCATATGGGGGCAGCCAGGCGTGGATGAACAGACAACTTTAGAAATATCCCTAACGCAGTAGAGCGTGATTCCCTGGGCTGGGGAGGAACTTTTGTCTGGGATGGGCTTCTTGAACTCTATAATGTTTTGTCAACAAATAGTCATTTCCTTTCATCGAAGCCGTGATAGTTGGTACTTGTCCGAAGTTTGCAAACATGCGACATGTTGTCTCCAAAATAGCCTAGAGGCAAATTCCTTCAGAATAATTGATGGCATCAGTCAAAATTTATCAACTTTGACAGAGGAATCTGTTTACAGGTCAGATGTACATGTAGATCAGACCAAAGCAACTTTTTTGTGGATTGAAAGTCCAGGGCGCCCCCTATCGGCCACGCTTCAAAGGGCAATCCATTCTAACTTTGTCTGATTGTATCTATGGCAGGTGGTTGTGACGCGCCCTCATTGTATAACCGTTGCCATGTCTGCACAGTAGGTCTGGCGTTGACGCTTGGGATTGTTTTTGTTGCAAAATTTAAAACTTCACGGAGGATTGTCACCTATGGCTTCTTGTTGAGTTTTAGTGGAGAATTTCGGACAAGGTAAGATTAAATCATCGTAGTTTTTAGGCCTGTATGTGTGATGATTGTTTATTAATCGAATTAAAATTTTGATGATAATTGCATGCAGGTGGCACGAGCACCTGTACGTGAAACACGCCGTTCCAAGATGGCGAGTGCCGTGCATGGACTGGGAAGAACGAGCGGGTAAAATTTCCGCCCAGGAAGACGCGCCACGTTCGCTTTGGTGGTAAGTTGTACTTTAAATTGCCGTAGATACTCTCCGGACCATTATAGGTAAATCTTCTTTAAGTGAAATGAAGCAAAACGATAGAAATCCGAAAATAAGTTGCGGCAACTGTCCCCACGAGTTAACGCTGCACTATGTTAAGTAACCGATGAGGGCGCATTTGCGTGGTCCAGTAATAGGAAGGCACTTTCATTTATTCAAATGTTTATTCATTTTCCACCGTACCCACGGCCACACAAGTTCTTTGAGCATGGGTCAACCAATTACTATTCAATGAGGGTGAAATTAATGATCCAGAAATAGAAGAACTACACCAATCTGATTAAGAGGTTCATTTTATACATAATCCGCTGATGGGCGCTTTTATGTGACCCCTGACCTGAACAGCTTTGCTTGAAACTTGGTTGTGTTGTCGTCCGGTAGGTTTTGGTCAAATTCTATACGTTTCAATGTAAAACAAAAGTGTTACAAGGCCAAGATCAGACAGAGGGGACACGGTAGTACCGTTTGTGAAGAGGATGACATGAACAAGGTGATAGATTTGGAAGGAGAGGAGACAGACTGTAAGTTCGAGTGGGGAGGGGGGCGGTAACAGAGTTGTTTAGTATCGAAGCCCATATCCAGGGTAATGATATACGTCACATAGTGCTCAGGAAGGTATATTTGGAGGTAGAAAAGACACCAAGAATCCGCCATGAGGTTGACTGCAAGAGAAGCGGTGTTTTGGTCTAGAACAGGTCAGGACTTTTCTATGCACGTTAACCAGTTGTTGAGCGGTAAAAAAAAGACTCTCGAACTTCACTGGTAAAATCTGAGATTAAAATGTTTATATCAGGCGAAAAAATCTGAATTCTGCATTTTACCTACAACTATTTGGCGTTACTTGAGACAAGCGTATAACTTCTAATGTCTGCATAGTTAGGTGCCTGCTGACTGATGCAGTAGTGAAGACTGTTGTCTGAACCTGACATTGGACCACATCAGATGATTTGAAGGTCCAAGAGGAATATCTGTTAGGTGAGAAAAATTCCAATCATGCATTTTAGCTACAGCTATTTGGTCTTATTTGAGACAAGTGAGTAACTTCTGATGTCTGTATAGTTTATAATAGGTGTCTGCTGACTGATGCTGATGCAGTAGTGAGAACTTTTGTCTGAACCTGACAAGACAGGTTGGACCAATGATTTGAAGACCGAAGAGGAATATCAGGTGAGAACAATCTGAATTTGCATTTTACCTACAGTTAATTTGAGACAAGTGTACTCTTGTGTAACTTCTAATGTGATGGCTGATGCAGTAGTGAGAACTTCTGTCTGAACCTGACAAGACAGATT